ATGCTTGATGCCAGTGACATGGAACAGAGATTCTTAAAGGGTCTTGCACATCTGTCTGTCTAGCCAGTCACACACTGCAGACTTTTTGTCCTTATTTCTGTGTGTTGGGTCTCAGAGCTAGAATTAATGTAACATGAAGCATTTTTCAGATTTAATTTTAAGGAAGCTGCTACATAGCTTTTGTTGTTGCTTTAGCTGCTGCGAGAATGCTATGTAATGTGAATTTGGAGTTTAGGTCGTCTAGGAGAAAAAGTCTACGTTCAGAGATGAGCCACACTGTGGCAAGATGTAAGAAGTGCAAAGGCTTCAGAAGCAACTGTAGAAAAAAGTCTACTGGTCCTTATGGCTTGCACTCTCTTGAAACCATGAGATACTTACATGCCTTTTAAAGGTTCCCTTCCCTTTAAAAAATTGCTATGCTATGCTACCTAGAGAATATGTAACTAATGGGACAATTCATCAACCAGAGTGAATTATGGATGTGATGATAAATCCAAAAATAAAGATTCCCATGTAAGCAAAGCCACCATGATTTGCCCCAGGAACAGGTACACTGGAACAGGTTGGCCAGAGAAGTTGTGGATGCACCATCATTGGGAGTGTTCAAGGTCAGGTTGGACAGAGCTTTAACAACCTGATCTAGTCATAGATGTCCTTGACCGTGTCAGAGGGGGTAGACTAGATGATCTTTAAAGGTCCCTTCCAACCCAAACCATTCTATGAGTCTGTGAAATATATATCTTCCATGGGACCTGTCCCTGTGTTGTTGTTCGTGGTTCGGTGTACTGGTTGGGTTGAAACAATCTGCCTACTCTGTGTACTCGTTGTCCTTTTAGCTGGATTGCTGCTCCTCGTGTAGTCAGGAAAAGACAAACTGCCTCATGGAAATGCCTTCTCAATTCTTTAACAACCTGCTGTCACTTAGGATAGATAAGTGTGGGGATAGAGTTGTTCTCTACTGTCAAGAAGTCACCTGTATACAACATCGGTATTTAGTCACTTGACTTAATACCTTAGGGTATTAGGTGGGCAGTTGAATCATATTCACAGGGATCGATCACTGCCTTGCCCATGCTGCAGTTTGGACACTGAAGCACCTTCAATGCAAAGTATGTGGTAGGTGGAAGATTTAATGGTCTGCTTGAAGGCTGGGAGGTGGGGTCCTTCTATATATGGCAGAACCAATCCCCCTGGGGATCTCTGATTTGGTTATAATCAGAGGATTTTTTTTGAAGTTGACAAGGAACCACTCCCATAAGAGTGCATGACTCACTGAATATACATGGTACAGGATACAAGGCACCAGGATTTCCACTCCTAAGTCACTTTGTGCCCAGGTGGGAGGAAATCTACATTTGCCTCTTTCTTGCCTTTGTCTCCGCTCCCAAAGTTGCAGGGAGGAAGCGGCCATAGAGATGGCATAGTTCTGTATACCATGGTCTAAACATAACTCTGGTCTGGACTAGAGCCCGCCATTTAGAAAAAACATCTCTTCCTGATTAAAACATTCCTGTGGTGGATTTACCACCAGAATTCTTAGTACATGGTTCCAGTAATTAATTACCCGGACTGCAAAAAATGCCTGCCTTGTTTCTAGACTGGAGCCGGGGTGTGGGCACAAGGTCTGTGTCTCTGAGAACTGAGTCAGATAAGAAAGCCATCTGGGAAGTATTTGGTCTATTTCCTCTCATTTTCAGCCCCATTTTATACACAACTCTTCTGCAGCGCCTTCTATTTTCAGGAGTTGTTAACTGGCCCGAATGAACCTCACAGCATCTGCACACATGATTATCCCCTGATATTGAACGTGATGTGAGGTGCTGGGTAAAGTAGGTGATTGCCCTGCTGAGAGCATACCACATTGGGGAATACAGTCCTAATCTCCTTTCTGTCCTGACCTTTAACTTCTAGGCCATCATTCCTCTAATACTTGATACTATCTTAATACTTTTTATTGTCGTTAACATTTTCCATCAGTGCAGTGTAATAAATGCCTGTGAGCTAGTGCCAGCAAGCTAGCCTGAACCACAGCAGTCTCTTCAGCCTGTGTACCACTGCACCTGCATCCCTCACTTTAGTTAGACTTGGCTTTCTGCAGCAGTAGGATTAGGGAAGTGCAAAGTACACTCTAAGACATCTCTGTGCATGCACCTCTGATCTGTGTGGGCTGAGGACTTCTGTGCCTAACAGGCAGATGATAACCATTCAGTAAGACCATGAAAAGCCATGCAGCAGGAGGACATCAGAGGGCAAATGACAAATGAAAACTCAAACGGAAACCGTGAGATATAGTCTAGGGATTATCCTGGTTTGGGTATGGCAGTGTATGTCCAAGTGCTTGATGAAGGTTGTTAATCTCTAGAGATGGGGAAAGACAGAGAAATGTGATTACCCCAACAACTTTTCTTTAGCAGGTCTGACAGTTTTGGAAGAGTTTCTACATATTGAAGTAGTGTAGGAAGAAGTCCAAGGAACCTCATTCAAAAATAGGCTAGTCCAGATTCTGACTCTAAGGGTCAGGGAATAACCAGGGTACACATTGCGATTGCCTTAGTCTCATCAATTTCAATAGATCAGACAGTTAAACAAGAAGAGTTTTGCCATTGACATCACTGGAAAAAGTATTTGACCCATAAACTTAAATTCAGCAACTTTGTGTTCTCAGAAGCCAGGTATAAAAAAGAGCAGAAAGCAAGGAAGAGTTATCCTCTGATGATCCGTTATGATATTTCATACTTCCGTATACCTTTGGTTTTCATTTTGTACTTTTAATTCACATGATGAAGTTTTCAGACAGAAGTGGATGTCATGTGTAAGCTGAGTTCCTTGTTTTTTTCTTTTGCCTGTCACTGGCTGCATGTTCTCTATTGATGTCTTGTTCCTGGTACTTGACACTGACCATCTTGTCTGTGAAAGGAAGCACTCCAGCTGGCTTGCCTGATAAGAAGAAAGGGAAGTTTGCTTGGTTTAGTCACTCCACAGAAACCCATGGTAATGTTCCACTGCACTCTGTGTCCACACTGCGTATGTCTGTGTGTGTACGTGCCTATATGTCTATACAGACTGACGTATAATATGGCTTTATATACTTCTGCATGTGCATGCCTTGCTTTTTCTATTGCTTGTGCGGTGTCCTCCTCATGCACTCAAGATAGTAAGCTGCTCTGCAAATCAATCTCTTGCTAATGTCTTCAAAATTGTTTTCCATTTGTAAATAAGCTCAAATATGTCTTGGAAGTGCTTTACCTCATCTTCAGAGATGACTTGCGAAATATCAATGTTTCCTGAGGGGCTTAATCTGGACTAAAAATTTTAATTATGAATATTGTTTTTTCTTACAGCTTACTTGAATGTTTAGTGTACATCAAAATATGAATTCAATTGATTCCTTAATTTGTCGTTCCAAATAGGCAAGATTATTAAAGCATCTAGTCTTTGTAGAGGAGCAGGCACCATTAGAATACAATATTTCATAGTTATGTCGAGTGCTAGAGAGTCCATTCTTATGGTCCTAAGAACACAGCACAAGAACTTCAGATTTCCTAAGACTTATGTTGTAATCACGTGAATTGTTGGGATGGGCTGAAGGAAAGATAGTTAATTTTGAGGGACATTTCTACCATAATATTTTCAAAGCAGGAACCCAAGACCTCTTTGGAAGAACCTTCTGAAATCTTCATAGCCTCTGAAAGAAGACCTGGTCCCATGGCCCATTAAACATCTACCCAATTGAAATGTGGGACGTATTTATTCTACATTGCCTCCTTTTGCGCCAAGGAGCCACAAATTGTTGTGTTCTTAGTATTGAGTAATGTATTCTTACAGGCTGTTAGAAACCTTTCCAACAGCTAATAGTGCATGCTCTCAAGTCTCATCTGAGATATATATCCAACTGTTAATACAGGTCATGTTCTAAAGTTCTACCAGGCATCTGAGAGATCTGTTTAACTCCTCCATCATTCAGTTTTAAGTATCATTTTTTCATTTGTTTTGTGTATTTGAAAAGGGGGGAAAAGGGAAGAGGACACATGTTGGATCTTATCCATTGTGCTAACTTATGTTGAATGGTTATATATTAAGGAGTTATTAGAGCTCATATAGGAGCTGGGAGCAATTAGTAGAATGGAAATTGTGATTTTTATTTTTATTTTTTTTTAGGATCTGTAGAAGCAAATAAAATATTGAGGTTTGATAACAGATACAAAACATGACAGGTCCTTGAATCCAGATGAGATGGGTTCATACCTAAGGTTGCTTTCATTTGATGTTTGTTGCATGATACTTCTGTAAAAGCCTAGGAGATTCTGTCCAGTTCTTAGTTGGTGAGTGCCAATGTAAAATCTTTGCCGTAGTCCATATTCATTATGTCCTTTGTTGGTAATATCTGAATGGATCAGAAAGTCTGAATTCCCCTCATATCCCTACAGGTCCAGTTTAAGTGTAAGGTCGAAACACATTAATGGTTAGCATATGACCGATGAGCCATCAATATTATTTATGTGGTACTTGCTATCAGGCTAACAGAACCCATTTGTCTGAATACATGTCAGTCTGGTACTTTTTATTTGTAGTCTAATCATTGCACAAAAGATTGGGGAGGGCAGTGAGGTGGTTGGGCTGATGCAAGCAAAGGGGCAATTTTTTTTTAAATGTTCCATTGAATCAAACAAAAGCTTCTTGTTGGCTTTGCCAGGTTCTCTAATTTTCAATAGTTCTCATTCATAAAATTCCCAGGAACTGACTCTGAAAGAAAGAGAGCAGCTGCTTCTTCCCTTTTCTTTAGCATTTGAATAACCTGTATATGTTTCTGAAGTCTACCTGCCCAGCCTGGCCTGTGCAGGGAGGCATGAAACTTGCTCAGCAAATTGCTTAATCCTCCCTCAGGAGCTGCAGCTGAGAGTCTTTTCATTAAGCCAATTCCTTCACTCATGTGACACATTAATAGATGTGCCAGGTTCTAATGGCCAACCTTCTCTTTTTCTTCCCTTTGACTCTTACAGTGAGCATGCCCACCAGTGAGACTGAGTCCGTGAACACAGACAACGTTCCTGGAGCAGATATTGAAGGGGAAAACTGCGGTGCTAGGCTAGCGTGAGTACATATACACAAATATATTGTATGCAGGGGTTGGACTGAGCTTGATGGGTTAAATCCAGGGCAAATGTCAGGCTTTTTAAGGGGAAGAAAACCCCACAATGGGTGAAAGGAAAGGGTACAGAAGATCTCTTGATCTCAGTTCTTATCTTAATTGCAATGTAAACTTACTACAGACATTAGTGGAGAGCCTCTGGGTTTACATAGATGTAAATAAAGCACAGAATGCCCAGGAAAAGCAGATCTGGTTTTGCATAGTAGCTAAAAGAAGAACTGATGGATAAGAGTCTTCTTATTTTAAAATTCCTCGTTGGTGATAGTTAATCAAATCCAGTATATGTAGACCAAAGAGTGCAAATGACTGGTCTATTTTAATTTCTTTAATGATTCTTGCACACTTTACAGTGTATTGTAATAGAAATACATGTATGATAACTCCCATCCTGCAGCCTGAATTACACCCTTCAAATGCTGAACACAATACTGTAGTGACAAAAATGAATCAGGATGGAGTAATGCCTCCTTGAGATTGCACCATTGTAGTTAATGGAGATGTTCAAGAATGTATGAGATAGAACTTATGGAATACTGTAATATACCATTATATGGTATATTTTTTTTAGCATCACAGAAAGCAAGAATAGGCAAGAGGAGTCCTTTCTACCCTTTTGCATCACTTGAACAAGAAGGGACTTTATGCTGTGGGGGGAATATGTTGGTCCCTCCAAATTTCCTTGAAAAATGGGCTGAGTACTATACAGTGCTATAGCTTGTACCATGCTGGAGTATTTTAAGGCTCTGTCCTGTCCTTGGGTATACCTTGAGCCCTTCAGTGGTGGTCAAATGCTCATCATAAGTACATGAGAAATGCTCTATTTTGTCCAACCCGAGGAGAAGCTGGCCCAGTGTTCAGGTCCTGACAGTGACAGGAGGGCAAGAGCACAAGCCTGGCCATTTCCTACTTTCCAGTCCCCTTTTAGTGCTCCCAAATTCATGCTTAGTGGGTTAGAGATGTTAGAGGGCAGAGTTCTGCTTTTTGCCTTTAGAGGCCATTTATGGACCTGTCGGCCATGCATTTATCTGAACCCCCTAAGGCTGTCTACCCTCACAATCTCCTGTGGCAACAAGTTTCAGAAGTTCACTACCTGCTGTGTAGACAAGTACTTTCTTTCTTGTATCTGTTTTAAGCTGATCTACTTATTCTTTCAATCAACATCCTTTCCTCCTAACACCGTGAAATTTGGTGATCAACAGTTCTGCGTTCAGCTTATCTATCACTTCCGTGACTTCATAAACCTTGATTGTATCTCCCACACGCACCCTTCGCCCTCTCCTCAAAAAACTGAAGAGGAGGAGATCTTATCTGCACTACAAGATATGATATGTGGAATATGTTGTAAATTCAATCTGCTTTCCTGTAAGTGTCAGCCAGTGACTTACAAACCCCAGGAGAAATTATTTGTGATAGCTTTCCTTCACCTGCCTGCTGTTGCCTACCTGCTGAGTCTGGCATTTTAGTTCAGCATGTGAACTATTTTCTGAAAGAACAGGCTAGATCTATTCACGGCATGGAGGCAGTTGTAGCCCTTCCTTTAGCACCCCACCAAGTTGCTTGTGCTCTTGTAGCATTACAGGAAGCAGCAGCTGGATGTGACCACTTCTTCCAGCTGGATCCAATTTGGAGAGCCATCTCTATTCTGCAGTTATGGTTCCCAACACAATGGGTCCCCTGGTGCTACACAGTGCCAACAGCAATGGAAACTGCTACTATAAAGTTGCATATATTTTTAATATTACAGCTTGCATTCATTTAATGTCCTTAATCCCAAAGGATCCTAAAGCACTTTATGAACTGTAAATGTAGGGATTGCTTTAACAGCATTAGAGTTCAGCCACCTTCAGGGTAAAATGTGACAGGTGTTTAAAAACAAAAGGCACAAGTGTATAAGGAGATGTATGAGGGAAAGCTTGTTTTGCACTGAAACTGCATGGGGAATTTTGGCAAGCAGAACATAATTATCTTAGCTGGAATGTGGCCAGGAGATCTGAAGTTAACCCAAACTCTAAACATAATCATGACTTAGAATGGAGTTTACATTAAAAAATAGGCCAATGTGCTCACAGGAGAATGGCAATACTGTGGTCTGGCACTGTGATCACTATACTCCTGCCACTAGGAGAAGGGATGGCTACATCCAACACATTTTAGGGAAGAAGGCATAGGAAAATGACAGGAAAAAGAGAGCTTCATTTCTTCTTCCCATGTTGTAAATGTTAAAATAGGGCCCTAAGTTTCACCAGAGCAGAACATGTAAGATTCAGGGAGATAAATAGTTTCCTTGCCACTTTCCACTTTACTTGAAAATGGGTGATGTATAGTAGGGTGATGTAAAGTCTGTTATTGAGAAGGGTTTTTTTACCCCTTACCCAAGGACAGTCAAGATCCTCAAGGCCTCACTCAGATTGCTTTTCATCTCTAAGAGATGGATAGGCTCCTTCATCCAGGAAAATGAATGGCTGTATCATTGTATTTGAAATTCTGGAGTGAGATACAAATTTTGCCAATGCTTCCTGCTTTTGTAAAATGTTTGTTTCAAACTTGTGGAGCTGAAAATTCCTTAGTTATGGGTAAATTTAGATCTGCCTTTGATTTTGAGGCTTGGAATCCTTTCTGGTTTGTTTTGTTACACTCAGGCAGAGAGAGAAACCATCTTTCCTGGTTTCAAGAACTACTAAGTCCTCTTCTTCTCACTAAGTCCTCATTTAAACAACCCATAGGCCAATATCCCTGCTGGAACATAGAAAATGTAAGCAAGAATTTTTTTGAGTGAGTATTTTCTCTTATTGGAACCTAACTAAGATAATCAGAATTTGGCCCAGTGTTCAAGAATAGAGATAATTCAAGGTAGCTGAGCTTTTCAAATAAGTTCCTCATCTAGTACTAGTGACTTTGAGTAAGCAGTAATAATTATAGTCATGCCATCTTGCTTTACTCTAGTTGAAGATTAGGCCTGGACTTCTGAGCAGTCATCTGCCCTCTGGATTTTGTTTTTACAGTTGAAATGGCTAGACAAGTTTTTTTTTCGATTGTTGAGTTTCACCTATTGCAGGTGAGTCTTCATTTTTACCAGCCTACTAAAATCACCTAGGGGCCATGAGTCCTCATTGCCTTGCCATAAACACATTTTTCCCCAGAGGGCAGAGACTGCACTGGGCAAGCTGCAACCAGACATGACTGAAGCAACAGGGAGATTTCAAGTCAAAGGTAACATATTTATTTATTTAGTGGCATCAGGCTGCTAGGGTATTTAACCACCCCAGCGCCACCACCATGGTGACAGGCTGAGCTTGCCATCAGAATGTGCTCATGATAAAAAGAAGAAAGTACCCAGGAGACTGAAAGAAAAAGCATTTTTATTGAAGATAACTTAGAATTACTGGCTGTTCCTTCTGTTGTTATAAAAAGCTGTAGAGCTTTGAAAGGCTGGGTCTGTGTATCACAGAAAGCTCTGTTTGAGAAGCCAGGCTCAAGCATGCCTTTTGGAAAAGGAGATCTTCCCTGACAGCCTTTCTCAGCTCCACAGAGACATATGCTATGTGAGATCAGGAGAGTACCTCTCAAACACAACCTATCTCCTACTGATGAATTGTTTCAAAGAAGCTTTTATTTCTATAGTATCCATACTATAGAAACTGCCTTCATCAGCTGTGCTGTCTGGAGCAATGCCAGTCTTCAAACGAGTAGAAGGAGTTTCAGGAGGAATCTAACATCTGATCTCTCTTTGCTTATTGTGTAAATCCAGTTTCTTAGAGCTAAAACAAAAAAACCCACCTCATTCATATTGATTCCTGCTGTAATTCTGCTGCCATCAGGAGAGCTGTGGGAGGAACTAGTTCCCTTCCTAAGATGGGTGTTAACTTTATCAGGCATCTGAATTTGAAAAAGGCTTTGTAGGGTTCCACAGGACATTGAAAAGTGTCCCACAGCTTCCACGGTATATCATCCCTGTCATGGTATTGCCTTGTACTGCACTGACACCTGCCCTGCAGTAGAAACACAAATTTTATCCTCAAGGACAACATTTGGAAGTGGAACTTATCTTACTTCTGAGGAGTCACAGCTTTAATAACCTGTTGCCTCTGAGTACAAAGAAGTGTGTTTCCTCTGCAGCAAGCATCAGTGGGATAAAGCCAGAAGTAGGAGCAATGGGTTTCTATTTACAGGATAGCCTTATACCCAGGGCTTCCCAATAGCGAGTAATTTCTCTGAGCCTCTATGGTTACTGCTGTGCAGGACTTAGATTCCTGAGGACAGGCTATTGCTCATAATCAGTAGTAATCTGTTCTGTGCGGGATGTCAGCATATATAATCTTCCAATACAACCAGAATGCTAATTTTCTAATACAACCATACAGATCTGGAGTGCCACAATAGAGCTTGCTTTTATACATATGTATTAGATAAAAAAAAGACCTTTGTGAAAACTAATGTTCCATAGAGCCTCAATAGAAAAGTGAAGCGCTTGAGCTCAAAGGGAAAGAAAAATTTCACTGAAACAATAAGCCACTTGGCATTTTCACCTTGGCCAGGGTTTCCATACATTTGGGGGACAGTTCAATTGCTTTTCCACCAAAGAGGGTTAAAACAATAAAACAGGATAAAACAAAATGAACAACCTACACTGGATTTCCAACTGAAAACCGTGTGTCCTGAAAATATTATGAACAATGGAAGCTTTCCTTGGCAGATGAACCATCAGTGATTTTCCCTTGGTGCTTTGCTGGCTGGGAAAATAATTCCTATGCAGTTCTTACAATAATCAGCATAGGAGCCAGCGGTAAAGGCAAAAGAGTCAGTTTGCTGCTGGTTTTCTCCTAATGAGAAGAGAGCCTCCTTCTGTGAGGACCAAAGTCCCCATCACATCAGGAGCAGTGGTAAGAAAAGTCTGCCCAAAGCTCTGAAACCACTGCTGATTT